TGTGTGTCAAAGACATGCAAGACAGCCTAACCATTTCCATCCTGGTTTTCAAAGAATATTAGGCATCAAATCATTAGATAAAGTACCCAAACACCAAAGTTCTCTCTAGACTAAATCTACAATCAGTCCACACACTGCCAATGAGAGCACAGACAGGTTGGGCATCTGTATGCTGGACAAGCATATACCTAAGCAGCTCCTTTTTACACTTACACTAGGCAGCAGAAAAAATGTTATAAAGATGCATTAAAGGCTTCTCTGAAGTTATATGACATACAGACTATGTTAATACGGGACTGGAGGCTAAATTGTACAATGAACAGTTGCAGGAACTGGGAATGTCTAGTCTAACAAAGAAAAGGACTAGAGGTGACATGATAGCAGTCTTCCAATGTTTGAGGGGCTGTCACAGAAAAGAAGGGGTCAACCTATTCTCCAGAGCACCTGAGGGCAAGACAAGAAATAACATATGGAAGCTTATCAAAGAGAGATCCAACTTAGAATTAAGGAAAACTTTCCTGTCAGTGAGAACAATTAACTAGTGGAACAGCTTGCCTCCAGAAGTTGTGGGTGCTCCATCACTAGAGATTTTTAAGAATTGATTGGACAGCCATTTGTCCAGAATAGTATAAAGTCTCCTGGTTGAGCAGAACATTGGACTAGAAAGTCTCCAAGGTCCCTTCCAACCCTGTTATTCTCTATTGAAATATTTATATTTTACAGTTTTATAACTTTTAATATTGTAAGCTGCCCAGTATCACCCCAAGGAGAGTTGGGCAGCAAACAAATTTAACAAATAAATAAAATTCTGTATTCTATAAGATACGATCAATTGAGAAACCCTGGTGCAAAATCACTCTATCAGATGGGGCCTCATCCATAAGGGATGTCAAGTTTACAAAGTAAGCTGCATTGCAGAAGCACAACATATGCATGAATTGCATAAGTCTAGAGCCATCAGTGCAACAACCACAGTGTCTACACGTTTGCCCAAATTTATCAGGATATTCCCTGCCCAAATTGGCTGACCAGTCATCTTCAGACATACCACATTTAGTTTACATAACTAGTGGTGTTGAAGTCTTTATTAACAATGATGGACAAAGAACAACACAACAATTTATCTAATCTTTTAACAGTCAAAAGAGCTCTATTTATTCCGGGATCAGCAAACTGCCCTCAATTTTATAACTATTTTCGCAGGTTTAGTGCAGACATATGAAAGACGTGATTAGCTAATCTCTTTTTGCACTCCCCACTGCCTGGAATAGCTTGGAGACAGATCAGGCAAGGAAAAAAGGACCAGACAGTGCCATCTGCAGGGCTTTTCTTTTCTTCTTTGCACAGAAATCAGCTGGGAGGGGGGCCAGATCATTTGGAAACTTGTTACATTCCCTGAATGAAATTCTCTATGGCATTTCTTGATCCATGTTAGAGATGACCAGCACACAGGCAAAAATAAAAGTGGCAGAATTTCAAGTTTTTCTGAAATTAAGAGTTTTGTTGAGAAAGAAATATAGCAAACATTTCATTTGGCACATACTCAAGGCTGGTTAATACTGTACCTATAGAGTGTATTCCTATTGCTCTTGCAACAATGCTCCAAGGACTGTAGTACAGATTGAATTCTCCCTCTGATTTTGGGGATTGGAAATAATGATGAAGACGTAAAGGTATTATAGCAGAGTGTGCACCTCAACGCTTCTCAAATACATACACTCATCCACCCACTCACTGAAGATGACATTACTATATATTTTGTTCAGATGTACAATACTTTCTATGGGGTGCACAATTTCCACTAATATATATGAATAAGATTTCTAAGACTACAATATTACAAGTAGTTCTGTTTAACAACTGGTCATTTAACAACTGTTCAAATTTACAACAATCTTGGAAAAAACTCTTCTAGCCATTGTAAAACATTGGGCTGCCTCCCCCAGTCACAGAACTGTGATTTGTGTTGTGTTTTGCCCTTTTCCAGCACAGCAGAAAATGGCAAAAATTGCCTGTTGGATATGCTGAATTTGTTTACTGACCATGGGATTTACTTAACATCTGCCATTTGTTTAAGGATTGCAGTGACACACTTTATGATCCTTATAAAATGGCCATAAAACTGAATCAAGTCATGTGGTGACCCACTTAACCAAACTTCCAGGCCCAGTTGTGGTTAAGGGAGGACTACCTATATATCCTCAGTAGCTCAAATCTCATAACATTAACTTTAGTTCATGAAAATTTCCACTGCAAGAACTATTAATTTTTAAGATGACAGAAGACTGTTTATTGCTTCAATACAATCGCCACTGAAATCAACAGGATTTATTTGGAGCTCGATTAAATCTGCATGTCCCTTGGCTCATGTTCCAAGTTTACTTATGCTACTGGATATTGCATTTTCAGAGTAGCAGTTAGGTAAGTGCATGACTATTTTACATCCATCTTCTCCTACCGCCCGCTATATGCCATGGTATTGCATATACTCCATTGATCACTAAGTGAGTCCCTTCTTGATCATATCAGCAATGACATAGTCTAGCAGCAGACAGCCATTATAGCAATAACAGAGTAAATGCAGAAAGAATGATTTCAGTGGAATTGTCACATCCTATAAGCAGCGGCTCACACTGTTGCTTGCATTGCCTACTATTTTAACACTGGTGGAAAATGCCTGCATATAAGACCAAGGCAAAGGTGGTAGAACTGACATGGGCATGAAGATTACCCTGTTGGACCTGGTTGCTACATTTGATGGTGTAAAATAGTATTCGTTAATCCAAACAGCAGACCATGTACCTATTGGAAAATGCTAGGAAGAAGAATAATGTGCCTTCTTTGCTGGCTTAGAAATTAGTCCAAAATCTTTGAAAGCAGCAGACGGGACAAGGCTGCATCCCTTTGTCTTATTACATTTATATCTTTCTTTTTAAAATTGCAATCCTCCAAAGGACTCATCATATCAAAACAAACAATCAAACAAAATACATTGAGGGTAACAATCCTATGCAATGAAAAGGAAGGAGTACAAAGTGCAAGATTTATGTGGAAGTTGTCATCTTCTTTCCTCTCTCTTTAATATGCTCTTGCCTAATGGGGATTATAAAATTGGAGGTAAGCATCTAGCCTGCATTTATTGACTGTAATAAATCATTCATGTAACATTGCCATTATTCTATAGCAGGGGTGTCAAACTGGTGGCCCGCAGGCCGGATACGTCACACGCAGGCCATGCCCATCCCGGCTCCCTAAAGGCAAAAAATATCACAATACATCACGGTATGTCCAGTGATGGGATTCAGCTGGTTCACACTACTTTGGCAGAACCGTTAGCTAATTTTTTGTTGCCCAGGCCCAGAATGGACTTTCGGAAGCAGCATCCACAGAGAACTGGTTGTTCATATATTTGAATCCCACCACTGGATACGTCACATGACACAATCGAGTTTGACACCTATGTTCTATAGGATCTTTTACAGATTTTGAGCTTAGATCTTCCTTACATTAAAATGATGTGCTTAATATGGAGAAATATCTAGAGTATATTAGCATTTTGCATGTACCTCCTACTTGGTAGAATGTGGACCACAGCAAAGACCTGCAATGCAATTTTCAGATTAAAGATTCTAACACGCATAGAACAGTATGTGTGTGCTCAGAATAAACTTGGGCTGGACAAATGTTTGGCTATGCTTGTGACATATTACCCCAAATATTTCAAAACTGACAATTATTATGTTCTTACCAACAGCTGGGAATTGTGCAGGTAGCATAGATACCTAGGCTGTTGACTTAACTTCCCCTTTCTTAAGTTAATAAAAAGCTTTGTTAACTAAGCCATGATGAGTAGTGGTGATCAACATTCGTAGCCCCTTCTGTAATGACACTGGGAGACTGGAGATTGCAACACAAAGGGGAGTACATGGTTAAATATGAGGGGGGGAGAGTTCAAATCTATATAAAAGATCTTGTGGAATGGATCTGATACATCCATCCACACCCATACCCACACTCATCCTTACACCTACATCGGCATATATATTTTGAAATGAAGACATAGCTTAATAATGAACAAAAATGCGTATCCAAAAATATGAATAGGAATTCATGTGCTGGATAGGACTACATTGTTAGGCTCCAGTACATTTAGTGTATACATATCCACCATGGGGTTTTCTTTTGTGGCAAGCAATATAAAAGTTAACTTTTTCTGATGAAGAGGAAAAACCTATCTATTGTATGTGGCTCCTAAGAATTGACAGTGATTTGATGGCACATAATCAATTTCCAGATTCCACTTCCCATCAATTCGTACTCTGCTGGCTGGGGTGGATGCAACCCAAAATCCAGCAATATGCAGACCACAAATTATTTTACTTATATCCCAACTTCACCATTTTTACAAACATCTCAAGGCAGCAAACGTATCTAATATTCCCTCCTATTTCCTCACAACAATTCTGTGAGGCGAGTTAAACTGAGAGAGAGAGTGATCACCTGGAAAGCGGGGTCCTCTTTGTCAAAAGCATGCCATAATCTGGCGATAGAGAATAACATTTCAAGCCTCAGAAACAGGCTGTAGTCCGCAAGGACTATTAACATAATAAACCAGGTAATCGTGTTTATGCCTGAAGAATTTGGACGGGGTGGAGGGGAGGATGGCTGCCTTGCTGCGATAGAACAAGTAGATACGTTGTCATGAAGGAATGCAGCTTTGTTGTTGCATTGAAAATTGTTTATAGCTGCCTTTTCGAAGTCTGGGCCTTAAGAAAACCACAACACAGCGCACCTCTCTAAACTTCTAGGGATCCTGAATAAAAGCAAAAAGGTGTCTCCCCTCGCTGTGCAGCCAGAAATGGTAGCGCCCGCCATCTCTTACCTCACAATTTCTCGCGTTTTTTTTTCCTGCGGGAGGCGTGGCCTGCCCGTTGACTGATTGGGAGGTGTCCGACAACGGGCATAGGGTTGGGGGTGGGTGGCATTTTCAGGGATTGCTTCTGTACCCTCAGAGGAGATGAACAGAAGTGAAACTGTGGTTTACATTTTCACATAGTGAATTCAGTGGTAGGAATAAAAGGAAAACAAATCATCTTTAATCGTATTTAAACATAGAAGAACGTATGCGCATGCCTGAAGAGAATGAAAAAAAAAAAAATCTGAAGCCGGACGAGCGATCAGTCTCTTGGATGTTTGATTGCAGCTTGAGCCGCAAGACCTCGTGGCGCAACGGTAGCGCGTCTGACTCCAGATCAGAAGGCTGCGTGTTCGAATCACGTCGGGGTCATGGCCTCCCTTTCTTAAAGAGGGATTTGTTTTACCCTAAATATAGACAGTATCCCTTTTCTCTTCCCCCTGCTCGTAGTTTCTCTTTAAATCAGTCTCACGGGTTGTTTGTGGATTGCAACAAGGAGAGGAAAGCTTACACGTGGGAAGGACTGAAGTCAAGAAATACGTAATAAAGGTGTTGGGGGCCACGGGAGGCGGCTCATTGTCCCGATAAAGCACGATGAATGTAATTGAAATCATGGAAAATAGAAGATCAAACGGGAAATCCTGGAAGGAAAAATAAACAAAGAAGGTACAGTTGCCACTCTTCAAAAGGAGGACAAAGGAGGTTGAATCTTAATAAAATAGACCAGGAAAGAGAGATACATGCACACATTTACTGCTGAAGGCCGTTTATAAGTATCTGGAAAGATTATAGTAATTTGGCACAATGAAAAGCACTTTAATTTTAAATCTATTGTGATTAAGGTTGTTCTGAAAAAAAAACTTTTAATAGTGAAACAGGTGGTAGAATGGGAAGTGAGTAAGAAAATTAAATAATATATCTGTTAATGATTGTTAATAAAATGCCTCTCAAGGACCCTGAGCAGTTCAAAGACTTCACAGTTTAGAGGGTGTAGTGATAAGTTGGGGGATTCTACCTTCACCCCAATAAATCCTTCAGTTGCCACAATAACAAACCAGAGAAAACTGCTGGAGATTAATCCCAGACCTTGGTCTGAGACCAAAGGGGCTTTGAATCTAGGAGTTGCTGGCAATAATCCTGTCCTGGCTAAATTTCCTATAGCAAATCAGGAGCGCCTTAATCTGACACCCCATTGTCCTGGGGATGCCCCTCCAGCCTTTCACGCATCTTAAATAATTTTAAAGCAATACTGAGTATAAAAGGAAAAAAAATCAATAAATGCAGTGTTTTCCACTGAAACAAAATATAAATTCTTAATAGTTTGTATGCATTTTTGCAAAACTGTTTAGCAGTGTTGGATATATATTGAATTAACACAGCTGAGCATTTCTGTGGCTATTACACATGGCAGCATCTGATTTCTATATGAGACTTAATAGATTATCATGTTGGGCTTCCATTGTAGGGTGCATTTCTTTACACTATTCATCTTTTTGCCAGATGGAGCCAGATAAAAACATTGAAAAATGTTATGAGTGAGAAAGAAAAGTAGAGATGTGATTACCAATTTTGGTTTCAAGTATATTATACTTCCATGTGTGATCTCTCCAGTGTAACTTGCATCCTGTATCTTTTTCTTTAGAACTGGGATTTTTCCCCTGTTTTTAATTGCCACTTTATTTGATATCTGTGTTTTTATGAATGCTCACAGAGCTAATGAACATTGTAATAGTGTTCATTTGATAATACTGATAAATCATTTTGAAATCATTTCAAAACTGGCAGGAATCCAGGTGCATAAGTTAAGTCTAATTAGTTTATTAAATACAAAAGCAATTAATGAACATTTTTCCCAAAACATTGAAAGAAATCAAATTCTTAACCAGCATTATGCTTTCTTTCATAGGCCCACTGTTTGGAGACATGGAGAATGTTACTGTAGATGTGCATATAAAAAGCAAGGAACAAGACATAGAAGGACAAAGTGTGAAAGAAGAAGTTGATATTAAAACTCTGACTGACACTGAACTATGGAAGCAGCTTTGCTCATATGGAGTTAACCCTGGACCAATATTACGTATGTATCAGATGCATGATGATCTTGGGAGACATAAAGGAAAGCTAAGCTCACTACTATAACCAAGTCTTGAAACACATTCAGCTTGAGGCAAGCTCATTTTGATAAGGGAATAGAAGTGCAACTGCTTGAGATTCCTTCTTTTTTGTATGTGTGAATATATGGCATTGCTGTTGTGCCATGTATTCCCCAAAAACTACTGCTTATTCAGGGATATATTCTGTTTTATCTTGTGGGCTCTGGCTATGCTTCTGCATATTTTGCTATAAATTTTCCAAATCATGAATGTTGTTTATGTACTCTTAGTTAAAAATAAGGACTTGTATGTTCTAAAATGATAAGCATTTACTAAATTCCCTAGATTTTTAATATGGTAATACTTTTTCTGGCCTTCAATGAGAAGGATTCTGTTCTTCCACCAATATTTTTCAGCATTTTTATGATCAATAGTTTAGCTGAAGGGTAGAATGAATCCTTGTTGAGTTTCCAGATAACATTACACAGGAAACACCTCAAAGAGAGAAATACAATTCAAAATGGATATAGAAGTATCAAAAAGAGATTATTTTTCATTTTTGTATTGTTTCTGAATTTAGGTAAAAACACACTGCATAGTTGTAAGATGAGAGGCACCTGGATTAATGGAGATAGATGTGAACAGCATCTCAGGGTTGACATTAGCTTTTGACATGCCTTTTAAAAATATTATAGATAAATTGGATTAAGTAAATAAATGTCATCAGATATAGTAAAACAAGTCCAGTGAATATTTGAAGTTGTTGGTTATTTAGCATATAGAAGAGAAAACCAAGGTGGGGATATAATTTCTTCAAGTATTTGAAGAATGCTTAAGACAGCAGGTATACTATATTGCTTTAAGATGCTGGATTTGGCATGCAGACATTCAGGTTCAAATTTCCATTCAGTCATGGAGTAGTACAGTGGGCAGTTTTAAGATAGGCTTTATCCCAACTTATCTCACAGGGTTGTAGGGATAAAATAAGGCCTCACATATATATTGAGCTTCCAGAGAAGAAAGTGATGTATAAGTGTGAGATACCCTCTATGATTATCAAGTGCTCTGAATGTTTAAAATTTGCATTCAATTATATAATATAGAGTAGAACAAAAAAAATCAAAGCAAAGGGTCAGGTTGGTCTATTTCTTTTAGCTTCCACAAGAACCGTTTATGAAAACAAGCTTCAGCAATTGATGAAGCAATGCCCAGGAGCAGCAGCTGGAGAGAAAAGCAGAAAGGTTGATTGTGAAACGGAAAATGTTGGAGCAAAAGGTAATGCCTAATAATCATTCGCTGAATGAAATGTTGCTGTCTCTGTGTATGAATATAATGATCACTTAGTGTTTGCTGTTATCAACAGATAAAATTAACATTAATTGGCTTTATTCATGTCTAGAGCAAGGTAATTTAAGGCTCATTGATTTCAAAGAATTTACCAAGTGAATAATTTTGTACACAATTTATGTCTGATGCATAAGTAGCATGCTTATTGACATTGCTTTGTTCACATCCCAGAAACTTGTTTATTAGAACAAAATAAAAAACAGATCACCATGCAAAACGCTATAATCTTATATTTCAGCTGGAAGCTCTTTTCATATGAATGCACAGTCCAGTTGCTGGGCAGAATTAATTATACAGATAATATCCGAACAAACATTGGGAGAACTGTCCAATTCTCACTGTGTCTGGAGTAGTATATTTCAAGAAATGTCAAAATTAATGGCTTTCTTTCACATAAAACTCTGAATAATGTATTCAAACTTATTCAGATAAACCCTAGCTAATATTAATTAGTTCTAGATGTAACGGCAAGTAAACAAAGCTGCTGGTTTTCTCATGGCCACATTGGAGAAGGAGAAAGAATAGCAACTGCTTCTGAAATGGGTAATGGGAGAATTGCTCAAAAGATGTTATTCTACCCCAGGACCAGCCGCAGAAGTCGTTCTTCAGAACAGTAACTTCAGAGTATCAGCAGAATGTGCCTGTAGTTCTGATAATGTAAGTTACACCAATTATGAAAATCTTGTGTCTATAGATAAATGCAAGCAATTACAGGTGAATATAAACTGATGTACTTTGTGCCAGACTCCTGACAAGTGAAGCAATTACTCCATTCACATAATTGGAAAGTATTTCAGTGGATTCTGTTAATAAATTAGAGCCTCAGGGGATCTGGAGCAAACAGACTATTTGGGTATTTAAGAACGAGCCAATTTTATAAGATATAAATGCATCTCAGAAGAAATTATTACTGGAAAAGTGGAAAAAGTGGAAAAGTGGTATTAAAGAAACTAGAAAAAACAAGCAAAATTATCTTCCATTGTATCCTTTTAAGCTCTGTTTAAGAAATGCTAATCATGTCTGTTAAATGTTGATAGATCCACGGTCTTCTGAGTATCTTGTTCCAGTCCCAATAGATTTTTTTCCTTTTTTCTTCTGATTCTAGCTCCAGGTTCAGTGGTTTTGCAAACTCCTCCCCAGATGATTTTCACAGTACAGTACTGTTTCCAGACAACTGAACGGTTTAACTGGTCCCTGAGGATTTCTATATAAGTCCTCTCAAGTTTGTGATGTTATAGATTTATAAGGGGGTATTCTCTTAGGAGTTCTCCAAATAGTTCATGAGGTGCCAAAATACTTTGCTTTCAACTTCATAAATTATTTTCCTCTTTCTCTTCCTCCTTTACCTCCATGCTTGGGGATCAGTATCCAAATAAATGACCCCAGTCTGGGTGGGTTACATCAGACCACACTGAGGATGCAGTATTGATCTGCCTCAGCATAAATTGTAACAATTACCCCAACACATGAGACATCTACGTAGTTCAGTGTTTCTCAATTTTGGCAACTTTAAGTTATGTGGACTTCAACTCCCAGAATTCACTAGCCAGTACTGGGAATATTCTGGGAGTTGAAGTCCACATACCTTAAAGTTGCCAAGATTTAAAAACACTGCTCTATAGCCATACTATAGCATTCTGGAAACTACTGTGATGTCTGCTTCTTGATTTGGTCTACCTTGAAGGGCTGACAGCATTCTAGCTGATTAAGCTGGATTGTGGGAATATTGTTTTGGTCTTTCTGTTTCCTTGGACAGTTGTGGGGCAGAGGCTTTAATTCTCTTCTTTCCCCATCGACCTCTTCCCTAGATCCTTTGCATTTATCCTCTCCCCCTACAATTGCTACAGCTTGCAAAGAATGCAACTGCAGCTATTGTGCAAGCTTGCTTCTGGGTCCAATTCAAGATGTTGGTTATGACCTTTAAAACCCTTTGTAATACAAGTCCATCAAGAACTATCTCACTCCAGTGGGATGGGACCTCTCCACTCATTCTAGTAGAAAGGGCATATGTGGACCCTATTGGTATAGGAATTCCAACAGAGATGGTCCAGGAGAAAGGGCTTTTCTATTTGGCCCCCATCCTCTGGAACATTGTTCCCCTCAAGCGGAGATCCACTCCCATCTTTGTGACCTTCTGTAAGAACTTCAAAACCTGGCTCTGCCAATTGGCCTGCAGCTTTGATGGGGACATTCTATGCTGGAGGTCTTTAATGGATTAAATAGAAGATCTTGCCTCCACCCCATTAGTATTCTGGTTTTATGTATTTATTTATTTATTGGATTTTTATCCAGCTTTATTATTTTAACTTATTTAATTTCTGCTTATTTAATGTCTAGTATTTTATGATGTTTGTAAACCACCCAGAGTCTCTTGATAACGAGATGGGAAGCATATACATCAAATAAATAAATCCCAATTTTCTCAAGATTGGAAAATAAATGAAGACTTTTTGCTAAGGAAAGGGAGGCTCCATTCTTATCCATCCAGCAGGGAGAATCTGAATATGTGTGCACATAATTTCTAATTCAACAATTAGTTCTGCATGTGATCTTTAGGACTAAAATATTGTTTTGCTCTGTGCTATTAACTGGCAAATAAACTCCTTCTTAACAATGATAGGGATTACTTCAGGAGAATAACCTACCCCAGAGAATCACCTTTCTTGAATTTTGGATGGCAGGTGTCTGTTTTCATTTCTCCATGTTTTCGGCCATTACATTGTACCTATAAGAATCCAAACCAATGCAGATTTTGACAAAAGCATTGAACTTTAACAATTAATTCATGTGATTTCAGCCTATCCAATATGTCAGCACATAAGAGTCTAAACTGTGTCCCCTAGAGGCCATAAAAAGTTATTTATCTGTAATGGATGCTTTTCTAGTGAACATTGTAGATCACTTTTTAAAACCCCTCCTTTATAGCCAATACAGGGAAATGTTTCACCTTCTAAGAGTCACTCCTGTGTCTATGTAAGAGAGGTAGAACCTGGTCCATGCTCCCAAGATAGCCTTCTTCAGGGCTGTATCACTAAATATACATTTTGAATTGTGTTGTGAGTAAGCATCGAACCCTTGCATGTAGCTGCACTAATTACAGTACCACTGTGTGACAAACACAGGCTTTTTATAGCCTGCTAACTTTGAGCTTCTGCTCACATTTAAGAACTTGTACTATCCCAGCACCATGCACCTAAAACAGTCTTATCTTTTTGCAACCTCGGTTATGCTTTCTCTTCTGCCTTAGAAAGCACCTTTAGATGAAATAACAGAACGCCAGAAGAAACTCTTGTCACCTGATTCTGAGCACAGTTTAGCCAAAATAGTAGCAGAAGTAAGTACTGTAACTGCTTGAGCAGGTTCCAAAAGATGTAATTTGTCTTCTAATCCATACCTTGGCATCTGTGTCTTTTTTTTTTTTTTTTCAAAAAATGGGAAGCTGGTGTATTTAAACAAACTGGCATTCTCAAGTAGAATTATATTTCCAGTAATGCCAAAAGAAACCGAATAGACTCTGAATGCCTTTTGGGATGGGAAAAAAAATAGGTGGCTTGGTACTTTATTTGGAAGGTACCAAACTAAAAGAAAACAATCAAACAAAAATGAGTTGACCATATCTAAAATGGCAGTGATTTTGTGAGATGGTCCATAATATGTATTTAAAAACCCAGAAAGCAATGCTTCAGGGTCAAAGAGAAAAAGACTTTTTGGATTGTGTAGGGCAGGGCTTTTTTTGTCATAGAACGCCCAGAACAGAGTTCCGGCACTTTTTTGGATGGAACCTTATAGGATAGGCAAGGCGGGTTGTATGACATGTGTGAGTTTCCGGTACCTTTTTTTTTTTTTAACAAAAAAAAAGCACTGGTGTAGGGTACTTACATTGCACTTGTTGGCAACTACTTAAAGCAGCAGGGGTTTTCCCAGGTAGCACAGCTGCCTTCCACAGCAAGGGTGGCAGCAGCAGCATGATCCCAGGAAAAGACATGTTTGGTTTAAAGACTTGCTGACAGATCCCGTGTGAGTGCCTTTGCAACTGCTAAAGCCACTTTATTTCCTTCAAATCGAAAAGTCAAAACAGCCCTAGTGTTTTTTAAAGCAGGCAAATTTTAAATTAACATGCAGTTGTACTCCCAATATTTCTGAAATTTGATCAGAGAGGATAGATATTTGCCATAGAAGTTTCATGCTTATATCCTGTCTGTATGTTTCTTCATTAGTATCAACTTGTCTGTTAATAGCTTCAAGAGATATTACCAGAAGGTAAAATGGCGTCACATCGGTCACAAGGATTAAGGAAGAAAGTTGGCAATAGCTCTGAGACAAGCAAGCAAAAGGTACCAATGTTTTAAAATCTTATATTAAACATATAATTTGTTAAGGTAGAATTTTGAAACAAAATGTAAAATAAATTATTATTGAGGAATCGCACATAGCTCCAAATAGATCAAATGATATGTTTCTCTTGAAAGTGGCCCAACTGCTAGAACTTTCTATTGTATGAACTTAATTAGACCAAAACTAAGAAACCCTGCATCAGCAGGAATGTAACATTCAGATCAAAAGTAGTTAAGGGTACTACCTATCTGATTTGGTCACACTTGACTTGGCATATGATAGCCAGATCTAACTCCCTCAAATTGAAGATTTTGGACTACAATATTATAGGTGCTGAGGAGGCATGATTAAAGTACTTTTTTATTTTCATATAATCTGGACTACTTTCAGATGGGAGGTTCATAGCACTATTCTTTCTCCATCTGAGACATCTTTAAAGTTCTATCCAGGCTTTCAGAGCAGTACAAGATATTCTGGATTTGGGGAGAATGCTTGGGACGGAATGACTGCACCTTTTTTCCATTCCCACTCTCCAGAAACACACTATATCGTAAGCTGCTCAGAGCCAGGGCTACAAACCAATCTCGACAGTATTTATGTTCCATGTGGGTAGGGAAAAATCCCTGCCTTTTTTTTTTCATCACTACCCAAAATCTTTTCATACACTTTACCATAAAGGTGAGTATTACAAAGTGCTCTAAAGGTGTCTCAAAACAGAAGTCCCCTAATACTACTTGTTAAGAAGTATTTTCTAGCCTTTTCATCTCCCCTGGGGGGGGGGAATATAGAAATGTGGAGAAATTAGAATACAAATTGAAGATGACAATGTCTACAAACAATTTTCACAAGACTTTTTGAGACAGAGAAGGGTTAAAAACTTCTGGCAGCACATTTAAACCCTAAAGTCTACTTTTACGCTTACAGGAAAGACATAGCTGAGAAAATTTTATAAACCATCCAAAATATTTATAGGCCCCTGACTTTCTTGTAGATATTAAACCTATTTATTGTATTGAACCCCTTTCTTCAGCAAGGAATTACGGTAATAATATTCTAGAGGCCTTAAATGTGTTTAAAACAGAGTAAGCCACAGGGAGCTAGCCTTCTTAGTTATTCACTAACATCATTTTAAGTGCTTCATTGTTGTCCCTCCTGACCTCTTATTTCTTCTTGTATAGAGAAGATAAAAATAGTAGCATTGCTGAAGGCTTTATTGACACAAGAGACTTTAGATCATAAGGCATAAGAATGGCTTTGTTTGAAAAGCACCTTCACTTGAAAAATGCTTTAAAATATGAGATAAAAGAAATCCTTCTTAATGTATCTGCTAATCTCTGAAATGGTAGGCAGAAATGATTTTTAACACATTTTTTTCTATTGGCTTTTGTACCATGGATAACGATACAAGATAAAACCTTGAATGATTAATTCCAATCCACTGCCTCCAAAAGATGAAACACTGTGGTTGTCTCTAAAGACTTTTGCCTGTTCTTTTATGCTTTCCTTTTTGTATCTGGGGGAAATATGTGGCATGCTTAGTTTATAGTGTTAGTGTAGTATCCTTTGGAGGAGATATTCTTGAAGACCTTTGATGTCTTTGTAGTAGTCTTATGGATTGTTGCAGATTAATACTAAATAGGTTGAAAAGTTTGTACACACAATGGCAAATCTGCAGACAATCAGTTCTGTAACTACATTGAGTTAGATCCCAAAGCAGAACAACTCTTATCATGCTGGCTGGGGAATTCTGGGAGTTGAAGTCCAGGCATCTTGCTCAGGTTGAAAAGGTAAACAATAACAGTTCTTTTAGTAATTTTCTTTCATCAGCCACCAAGGTATTCTTTGAGGCCTTCACTTCATTGTTTATTTTCTTTTCAGGCCTTAGGGCTGGCAATTTGTGTGTTCATCAGATTGGCATTTCTATTTTGGCTATTTAAGGGTAGGCAGGTATGTATTTCAGAGCTCAAGCTAGAATTTGGAGAGCTCAGTGAGAAGAAACAGTATACTAGGAACAAAGTAGTCAAGAGCAGGAAGAAGAAATTGCATTCATACAGACAAGATTTAGCTCTGAATCTACATCCAAGGACAAATCTTAGATAATGAATAAGAGGTAGGTCATTGCCTAAGATGAAAGCAATAATTTCCTCCTAGGGAGTAACATCAGATTTGAAACTATATTGAATAAGTCAGTTGGAATAGTGGCTGTTAATCAGGTGCTGCAGTTTAATGACTGGATATATATTTTGCCTTATCCCTGGCAGCTAAGGAACTTTCCTCTTATTTATCTCACAATAATAATTTATTTATTTATTTATGAGACTTATATACCGCTTTAAGTGCAAACACTCTCTAAGCGGTGTACACCAGTAAGCAATGTATATATATATTTACATTGCCCCCAACAATCTGGGTCCTCATTTTACCTACCCCAGAAGGATGGAAGGCTGAGTCAACCTTGAGCCAGTGAGATTTGAACCGCTGACCTGCTGAACACAGTCAGCTAAATGGGTCTTCCCAATGATGGTCTAGTATTGCCACAGTACTTGGTACCAGGCTTCAAATTATATATTTACCTTTTTTTGTGTTGGATGGGCTTTTGACAGAAAAGAGGATTATACATTTAAGGATAATTTATTAGGCAGTTAGCTCTAGCAATAAGCTTTGGTTTTCTCTACTATGTTTCTGTATCTTTTACAAATTACTTCACTTTCCCATGGGTTCCTGGCAAATGTTTAATAAACTGAAGGACAGTAAGATTGAATAATTTGGGGCAATCAAAGTACTACACAAGCATATATATTTTTTAAAAAAACATATATTTTTGTAGTGCCAGGCAGAGAACAAGATTGGTTGACAACATAAAACCAAACAACATTAAAAATAATCAATAAAACCAAGATGAATACCATAATCATATGTCTAAGGATGTTTACTCATGTAGTATGGCTGTATTTCTGTCATCCTTCTCATCTTTTTTATTACCTTCTCCTATTGGTATCTTATGATTATATTACTTTGTTGTTTGTATGTACACTTGAGAGCTTTTGCACCAAAGGCAAATTCCTAGTGTATCTTATCACATTTGCCAATAAAAAATTGTATTCCGTTCAGTTCCATTCCTATTCTATTCCTATTCTTATCCTTATCCTTATATTTTTCTCTCCTTCCCTCCCCCATTCCATTCCAATACAAAGGCACAAAGATACTATGTTGACTATACATTCCTTGGATGACCTCAGGAATGGTCTTAAATAGTTTCCCAAAAGAACAGAACAATTTTGAATTACACCCAGAAACCTATTAACTACATTGCAGCAACCCTAGAACAAGTGTTGTTTAACTATGATGACTTTGATTTGCCTATATATGGCTTGTTACATTTTGTACTCGTTGCAATTTCTGAGTAGTCTTTAAAGGCTGCCCCATATGAAGCACGTTGCTGTAATATAAACTGGTGAGTGGTAACAGCTTTCACTAAAAAGGGAAAGTATGATAATTCTCCAGAATTTTTGAATCAAATGATGGCTTTTTGAGGAGAAGATGCAGCATTGCTTCTTTCAAGGCCAGTGAAAACATGTCTGTCTCAGTGAAGAGAATTGTTTCTAGGACCAGCATTGTCATAACCCCCACTCTCCCAAAATAACCAGAAGAGATATGGATTCTACCCTGGGAGGCCAGGTTGGCCCCAATCTGCTGGCTTTTTGTAAGAGTCTGAAAATGTGATTCTGCCATCCATCATGAGAACCTGGAAGTGGAGTAGAATTTATATTGAGTGCTATTGATGGATGTAAGAATACTTTGGCTATGAATTTTATACTATGGTTTTTATAGTTGTTTATGTTTTTATTGTTCTTAAATTGTGCTTAAGGAATTGTCAAATCCCCCAAAGAAGATAATTCCTTTAGTTTACAAGAAAAATAATGTGCATTTCATGTATTTATGGTCACACCAATTCATAAATTCATCATTCTTTTTCAGAAAAGTGATACACTGCACATTGATTATGGTCATCCTGATGCGAGCACCGTAGGAACTAGGTAAAGTTCTTGAGAATTATCATAATGAAGGAAGCCCAAGAAGCTCTTCAATGCGTTTCCAAGTGGTTTCCAAGTAATGAAAAAAAAAAACTAGCACTTATTAGGCACCCCCCAAACACAATACACAAAAAGCCATAATAAAGAAAAACTAGCGCTTATTAGACAATCCCCCCCAATAAACCTATTTTGTTGAAACAAAACACTGATTTCCACAGAAATCATCTGTAGATGCTCTGAAAAATTGAAAATACTAAAAACAATTTACCTAATTGATGATTACAGGCTTCTATATGGATTAAAAGAGAGTGTTAAGAAAAGCTCCAAGGAGTGAGTTTGTAATATTTTAAACTAAAAGTGAGCAAGATAGTGGGAATGACTTTCTAACAAGAAAAAGGCAAATATAGCTATAGGATAGTTGAGATATTCAGTGCTTCAACAATTAGCCTAACACAACAATTGCTAGACAAAATGCCATAAATGCTGTTAAAGATAGGATCCAAAACTGTCCCTTTGCATGGATTTTTTTTCTTTTGTTGTATAGGAGTTTCTGTCAGTAACTTGTTCCTGTTATATACAAGCCTCATTAAAATTCCCTGGCTCCAGTTTCTTTGTATTAGGTGCTATTATGTTAATTTTCAACCTATTGTGAATTACTGAAATATTAGTTATTTGTATCCTTTCATAACATGTTCTAATTTGCAGCAGCTGAAATTCTCTAATATGAGCTTTTCCAGGTTAGGCAAATACTGGTCTAGTCACAGATACTACATATCTCAACAGAAAAACACTAGCATTTTTTCCTTTTGGATTTTAGAAGCACAATCAGCTAATATGTTGCCTTTTGTGTTTTTAGTTCTCGAAGAAGAATATTAAGAGAAACTCCTCCTTTACTTAAGAAACATCCTGAAAACAAACCACAGAAAACATGTGAAAAACCAGCTGAACGACTTATACCAATGCGGATAAAGATTGCTGTTTTTTGTATCTTTGTTTTCCTTCTCTTTGTATATGTAACTATGGAAACCAGTCCATTCACAACCTTCTTTAGCAGAAAATGAGCACCTCCCTTCCTTGAGAGTTGCGGGGGAGATCAAGGAAGCCACTTTGGTTAGCTGTTTAGGAATAAGTGATTTCAGTAACTCATTAAACAGCAAATGGGATAATCCAGTTTGTGTTTGTGTGTGTTTGGTTTAAAATGGTTTTTTATCAATGCTTCTCTAAACTAGAAGATGGAGCAGCATTTGAGTCTTTACTATTTCTGTCTTAACTACATAGTTTGCAGGGAGATTATTAATTAGTTTTATGAAAGTGTTTCATCTGGTATTTTTCCCTATTTCAATTTAGAAAGTCAACTGTCAGGCTCCAGAAATCAAGAAAAACATTCAGAGGTTGTTCTAAGCCATTTCCTTTATTGTTCCTTTCCTGTAGACAGAAATCATTTCAAATCAAAGCAGACTACTTGCACCATTAGACACATACTCTGAGAACTCCTAAGAAGGAACCCTCTTAAATCTCTTCCTCCATACACACTATCTAAACCTCACTGGCTTTTGGTCTTCTGGAATACACTCCTCCCTCATGGGAATCCAGACTATATTCCACCACATGAACAATTCTCTTAGTAGTTTCTCCCTTTCCCCATCCTTATCTCTAGTATATGAAGAGGTCTTCCTGCCCTCCAATGCAGAGAGCTGTCAAAAAAGACAGTCCACCACTCTGTAACGTGTGTGACATGTAAAAAGGGGGCAGAGTTCCAACTGTGTGGTTGTGGCTGTCATCTTGCTCTTTTAGGATCCTGTAGGTTACTTTGCTAGAGAACTGAGGTTAGGTTCAATAAACTTCATCTCAACTTGATTCCTTAGCTCAATAGCAAGAGCACTTAGACTTATATACTTCATAGTGCTTTACAGTCCTCTCTAAGCAGTTTACAGAATCAGCATATTGCCCCAACAATCTGGGTCTTCATTTTACTGACCTCTGAAGGATGGAAGGCTGAGTCAACCCTGAGCTGACCAGAATTGAACTACTGGCTGACAGCAGAATAAGCCTGCACTACTGCATTCTAACCACTATGCCACCACAGCTCTTCAAGCTCAAGCAAGAGCATTCCTCACTTTGCATAGAATAAGGTTGCAGGCTACTTCTATCTGGATCTGAAAGGAAGAAGCCTTCTAGCTTATCCCAGAGAGAGAGCAACTTACTCTATGAGAAAACTGCCTTGTTAAGACTTGCAGGCATTGCTTTAATTCACCAAGCTCAGCACAGAGCAAGCTTTATTGCTTGCTTGCTTGTTTTGCTTTGTGATTAGTATTCTAAATTTGGCATAAGGATTTAATTTCAGAAAAGTGCTTTTCTTAAAGAGTTACTTGTACTATGGTGATATTATTCATTATTATCAAGATTTTGATCTTGAATGCATGAAAACTGTATTCATAATTGCCTACAGCTCAAAAAGTTAGACCTAAGTTTTTAAAACTATTTTTTTAAATGAAAAACACCACTCTAAGATTCAATTCATTTTTCTTTATTTTAATTGGTAAAAGAAATTGAAATACAAAGATGAGCATTTGCAACTGCAATAACTTGGTTTCGACAATCACAGGAGCCCATATATGAGAAGAGCTGAAAAGTTACTCTCTGATAACGTATTTCCTATAAGTGCCAGGTTGTTTGTGCAATTTCTACAGTATCTAATGAGGTGCTATATTATGCTTCTCTCTTCCCATCTTTCTAAATTGCACACCTTGTGGTTGTTTTATTCTGTGGTAACTGAAGCACAAGCAGCAATCTAGCTGTCATAGATTTCCAATGAATATATCCGATGATTACCTCTTGACATAAGATTTAGTGAGATGAAGGAGAAACTGTTTGACACATCTTCACATATCCATACAAATGATATACTGTTACACTGTAATAATGTACATAAAAGTATAGAGAAAATATAAATGAGTTGAAATCTAATTTTTATTTATTTATTCATCAGAGTTATATGGCTACCCATCTCGCATAAAAGTGACATAAAAGCAACTCTAGGGGGTACAACAAGAGTATAAAACAGTTAATATATTAAAACAATTATGAGAAACAATATTTTTAAAATCAGAATAACTAAGAAAGAAGGGCAGATATTAATAACAATGGAGGTCAGCCTTACCTCACCAGTGCCCTGGATCCCCAGCCCTGATGGCATAACCAGGTTTTGAGGGACTTCCAGAAAATCAATAGGGATGGAGCCAGCCTCACTTTTGGGGATGGAAATGAGATTACATAAAGTGGACATCACAGCAGAGAAAGCCTGACTCCTGGAACCCACCAAATGTAGCTCCTTAGCCTGTCCAGGAATCCATAGCCACCCTGTTCTACAGGATCTGTTGGGATAGGCAGATATGATCGGGGGGCAGGCGGTCCTTCCAATAACCTGACCCCAGGGCATGCAGGGTTTTAAAGGTCAAATCAGCACTTTGGATCTGGAAGCAGAATGGCAACCAATATAGCTTGTGGAACAGATATAATATGTATTGTTCTAGAGCATGGGTGTCAAACTCGCCACATCTCGTGCCGTATCGTGATGTATCGTGACTTTTTTCGCATTGCTGGAGCTGGGGTAGGTGTGGCCTCCACATGATGCAACTGTCCTATGGGTGGGCAGTTTGACACCCCTGTTCTAGAGGCATAGATAACTGCCTGCATTACTACATTTTGCACCAGTTGAGGTTTCCAGGGAAGCTCTACGTATAACCTTAGAGTACAGTAGGTTACCAGGTAATGAATAACTGTAATCTAGGAATGGGTGCAAATGGCACACACAATTCAAAGTTGTGCAAAGGCCCTCCTAGCCATGACTACTACCTGCTCATCAAGCAGGAGTCATGAGTCTAGGAGGACTCCTAAGTTGCAGTGCAACTCTATCTAGCACAAAAGATGACATTGTCCTAGAACTAGACGGCCCCAAAACTCAAAGCCTCTCAGTCGTGCCAGGGTTTAGCTAAAGGCTGTTGTTCTCCATCCAGACCCTGACAGCCTCCAGGTACCAAGATAAGACATCCACCATATTGTTTAATTTACCAGGAGCAGAGATGTGTAATTGGATACCATCAGCTTCTAATGATATCTCACACCATGACAACAGATGAGCTCACCCAGCAGTCTCAGGTGCTTTTTCAAGAGGCAACTGGACTTTCTTGTTTTTCTTTAAAGATATTTCACTTCTCATCCAAGAAGCTTCTTCGCCTCTGACTGGATGGTGGGGAATGGAAGGATTTATATTCCTTGCAGACAGCTGGTCATTTACATTCTTTTAGAGAGTCACTGACATCACTTGAAGGTTTATCTGTGTCATCAGGGTCACCTGAGTAGTGGGTGCAAATGGATGTGGAGCCTTCTTGGAACAGCTGAAAGGATTATGTTGTAGATTGGAGATAGATGATGTCATATCTCTCACCCTCTTTTGATCTAGATGGTCGCTTTGACCCATCTTTCAAACCAGCGGTTCTCTCCATCCAAAAGGTGGACTTTGCTGTCTTCAAAAGAGTGGCCTTTTTTTTAAAGACAGCAAAATCCACATTTTGGACAGAGAGGACTATTGGTTTGAAAGAGGGGTTAAGTTAAGGATGAATTTTTCTTTGGTATAGTTTAAGAATTGACTCAAACATATCTGCTCACTTTGTCTTTTAGCTGACCATATGATTTTAATTTTTGGTTTGCTTTTGTTTTCATAATGCTCCCAGGACAACTTGAAATTGGGCAGCATAGATATTTAAATATATTAAACAAGCACACTAATAACCATTGTGAGTTTTGAACCTTGATTTTATGATAATTGCTAACCTTTTGTGTTTCAACAAGATCATAGGTAGTCAAATTACATTTGTTTTAGTTTTGAAGCCAACATGATTTGAGCTTTACAATGTTTCATCATCCCACAGATCTTTGCTTGTATTTAATTTATAACTAATGTTTCCTTTTAATATGGCTGGATTATCTGAGAACTTGCCTCAGAGCACTGTATGTTTATCAAAGGCTAGAGATTCATTCATGGCCTCCCAAACTTCTAATGAGCTAGTTTCACTGTTTCTGGTTTATTCCTTTCTCTTTTCATTACTTAGAAAAAATATGCGAGAAACAAAAATGTAGATCTTTCTCTGCTGGATCAAAAATATTAGTCTAATTGGTAGAAGTACTGTAAAAGCAGTTGACTCTTTTTCATTACAGAATGCAGATTAACTTGAATGTAGCTTAAGGTAATTTTGGGCCTAAATTTACAAACTGCATGCTGTCTTCTGTATATATTTTATTTTTATTTTTTTAGGGTTTTTGTTGTTGTTTTCATGACACCCATCTCTGATTCTGATATTTCCATGTATTTCATTGACTGGTCTAGCACAGCCAGTGACTTCTTTCCTTTGAATAGTTGGAGACTTTAAATTCATAATAATCTTTAAATACTGATCTCTGTCATTGAAGCAATAATTTTAACTGTCAGAGCACATTATCAAGTCTTCTAAAAGAAATACTCTAAACAAACAGATGTCAAGCATTTAGTACTAATTTTTTTTTCCAAATATCAGTGGGAATCTCTCTCATTATAGTATGCTAAGTGTTCAAATTCTACTGATTATAATCTGCTTTTAGATTTTTAATACTGACACAAACAACATTTACTCAAGTTACAGTATTATTTATTAGTCTTGATGAAATTGGGAGATTTATTTTTACATAGATATATATAAGATTATACTGTTGAAACTGTACAATATAGGTGATCCTCATTTAACCACTGATCTCTTAATGGCTGCTCACTTCCATGACTGTTCAAAGTTATGATAGACTCTCAAAAGGTACTTATGATCCAATTTCAAAGTTTCCATGGCCATACACATTTGGGCACATGATTGTATTTTGGGCTCTTGGCAACTGGCATGCATTTCTGACTATCTGTAGCAGCCTGCAACCACCTGAGTGTGATTGTTGATGTTTTTTGCTGGTTTCTGGTGTTTACTTCCAGTTTGTGGTAAGAAATGCTCATTGGATAAAATGGGTTTGCTTAACAACCATGGTGTTTCACTTAACAGTCATGGTGTTTGCTCAATGATTGCCCAAAAAATATCATAAAACATCAGGAGACTCTCTGGCATCATTGCCCAGTTTTAACTGAGTGGGTGGGCATGCTACCATTCAAACCCTTAGACTGGATTGCACAGCCTCTCACTGTTACTTTCCAATATATGCATGAGGCCTGTGTGCATGGCGCAGAAACTTTCTTGGGAATACAGAGGCTGACAGCTCTGCTGCATGCCAATCTTCTATTTACAATTCTTTTTTTCTTTCAGTTTGAAACTGTATTTTGAAAAGAGGGTAAGGTGGGACTAGGAGACTGGCAGATGCCAAATATATAAGCCTGAGTACTGTTATGCACACAAGCTAGTTTATACTATTATGATCACTAACTTTTAACCATACAGAGTATATGTTAGTAGTCAACTATGCTGTTAACCCAGTATGATCTGTGGAGAAAGAATATACAATGTACAGCATGCAATTTATATTTAATTTACAAATCCAATAAATTCTTTTGCTCCTATTCCCATGGAAACAAATGCTTGTCTTTTAAAAAAAAGCCCAACCCTTTCATTTTTGGCAAACCACAGATATTTAGTATGGCTATAATTTACCTCTATTTTCACCAATCTATGAGTTCCGCGCTGCGGAAGAGCTAGCTTTGGAAACTGCAGAGAGTCTTTTGTTCAGCTAGTGCATCACATCCCTGTCTCAGTGTCACAGTGAAGCATGAGCTTTCTGTGAGAGCTACACAGCAGCTGGAAACAATGAAATCTGCCTTCTTAGCTACATGCAACTATCCTGATTGTATTTCAGCTTAATAAGCTGCCGTCCAAACATTTCCCTGCCACACACAGTGCACTCTTTCGCTCTCCCTTTTTTCTTTTAATAATCTGACTCTTAAATCTTTGGGTTGGAGGTGTTTCCATGGCACTAACTGTTATCCATCCCTACACAAAGCTTCCCCCTTTCCACACCCAGCTATCAGTGAAGGCAAAGGAGGCTCACTTCTCTGCATGTGCATGTTATCTGTTGAAAAGGACCAGCTCCTCAAAGTCATTTTCTCTTTTCCCCCTTCCTTTGTGTCAAGTGTCTAATATAACACCGGCATGGCTCTTAAATGACAGCTCTTGTTTGTCAGCGCAGAGCCAGGCATCGAGAAAACATCAGTCGTGCACTACACACTTGGATTTTGTATCGTGACTGAGATGATTGTCTTCCCATGTGATTCAGCTTTTTATTTGCTACTGTCCTCCTTTCTCCCTCTTTTATATTTTGAGCTGGCATTTCTCTTCATGGTAAGGTAAGCTGATTTAAATAAATTGTTAAGGACCTATTGCCTCAATTTCAATGGCAGTAACATTTAATGATATGCTTTATCTGAAATGAGATAGTTGCTTGTAAAGGCAAGGACTAGAATAATCTTTAGCATCGATTCAAACATAAGATTTTTTTTTTTTTGCAAACAAGGCTCTCCGAGTTTCCCCCACTTGTGTGGCCTAAATTTCAAGATGCTGCAGAATTGGACATTGGCGTCTGACTTCTTTAGAATAGAATGTGATTAAACAGATTTCTAATTTTACAAACCTGGCACAATATATAAAATGGAATTTGAGGAAGCCATTAAGGTGCCTTTACCAATAATTTTTTTATTTTCTTTTTCTATGTTTGTGTCCATTATGGGTAAAGTAGAAATTAGGTTAGACCACTTAGAAATAATTGTTGAAATTTCTTATAGATGAATGCCTAACCATTTTGTTCTGACAATGAGCAAACTCATCACAGGAATTTATGGAGAAGATGCTCAAGCACATGCCTGTTCAGCTTTTAGATAGGGAACGATGGTGTGTACTTTTATATATGCACATAGGATAGATCAAATTTATATTGTACATGATAAATATAATGGAAATACAAATACACAGAAATATAGCTCCTGATAAATTTTGAACTGTAAAATGGAGGGATCTATTAAAGCTAATGTGTTCCCTCGTCCCCTCTTTTTTTTCTGTCAGGGCTCAGTGAGGAATAAAGGTTAAAGTCCTAGATTCTATCAATTGTTAGATCCTAGAGTGGACTCATATAAGGGAAGCTCACTTTTATATCCTAATAAGAATTTAGTGAAACAATTGTTCAACTACTTAATATGCTAAGTCAGTGATGGCGAGCCTTTTAGAGACTGAGTGCCCAAACTGAAACCCAAAACCCACTTATGCATCGTCGGGTGCCGGGTGGGTATGGCCCATTGGTTGGGCGTGGCCCATTGGCTGCGGTGGTAACGGCAGACTGGGTGGGACTAAAAAGTTCAATCAATCAATTCCAACTTTGCAAGATCTTTTTTTTCCCCCCCAGGAAAAGTTGAAATTGACTGATTGAACCTTTTTTTTTTTTTTTTTTGCACATGGCGGCGGAGGCCTAAAATGAAAAGGTTTTATAAAACCCAGCTGAAAGCCTAGGACTGGGGCGATGGCGCATGTGCCCACAGAGAGGGCTCTGAGTGCCGGCTCTGGCACGCGTGCCATAGGTTTGCCACAACTGTGCTAAGTGCTTGTATGACTAATATACTATTTTAAATTACACACGTGTGGAGACTTCAGCAATTTGACACTATCCCTGCTGAAAGTGTTTCTATTTGTTGTCCTGTGTTACCTAGCTTACTGGAAACTCTGGTGAGTGGTAATGAATTGTTTCTCAGTCATGTGGGTTTCACTGGTGATATCAATACAATTTTAAGGAAAGGAGAACCTGAAAGAGAGACCATATAGTTTTCTGCAGTTTTTAATGCAAAATTATTGCCTGTCTTACAGTGTTAAATATGCATATCTGGGTACTGGATTCAGACTAAAAAAGGGTTCTGAGTCTCTGAAAAGCTAAACATGGACCTAAAGCAAAGGATGCTCAAAACAGTATTTTTAATAGCTCTTGCTACAGCTTGCAGGAGCTGTCCAGCAGTTCTGTGGTTGCTCCGAAATTGTTCAGAAAAAACAATGTGAAAGTGAAATAGAAACTATCACTAGCTTAAGATTTTAGTCTTCACTGTCATTTTTATGACTCTTATATAATAGCTACTGATGTTTAATCCAATTTACTGTTATTTTGACTGGGGTAGGAAAGATCTAATGTGAACGTAGCCTTTGTGTTTGCAAAGTCTTGCCACTTCAATTACGGTGTCAGTGTGACAGACTAAAGTACTCTGGAGTTATCTACATAGGCAATACAATGATTTGCATCAATATACCTGAATAAGCCTCTGTAGAACAACAGCCTAAGAACATATACATTTTATTGTTTTCTATTTCATAATTTTATATTTGCAAATGGAGTTTTAATTACTAATTTAGCATTTTAACTTAGATTAATTCTCAAACATTTTATATATTCGAGGAGCACGAAGCTGAAAACACCAGCCTGAAGATGACGAATGGGACTTTGTTGAAACGTCGCCAAGACACTTCCAATTTTACGCGGGAGAAAACCCGAATAACCAAAGACCTACATACAAACATCCACGAAAACCTTAGAAAACATATATATATATGTGTGTGTGTGTGTATGTGTGTGTGTGTGTGTGTGTGTGTGTGTGTGTGTGTGTGTTTTCTGAGGTTTTCGCGGGTGTTTGTATGTAGGTCTTTGGTTATTCGGGTTTTCTCCCGCATAAAATTGGAAGTGTCTTGGCAATGTTTCGACGAAGTCCCATTCATCATCTTCAGGCTGGTGTTTTTAGCTTCATGCTTCGAGGAGCAATGTGTGATCGTAGCTGTTTCTTCCTTTTAATTGCCAGTGGGGGTATGAACTGATTGGATGATAGCTTAGCTGGGTTCTGATTGGATGGAGATGTGTTCTGATTGGTTAGGAGCTTGGCTGTGCTCTGATTGGATGGGGGGTTGGTTGTGCTCTGATTGGTTGGGGGAGTGTTCTGTTTGAGTGGGGGCTTTGTTGTGCTCAGGTTAATCTGAGTTGCAGGGGGATGTGAGATGGTGAGCATTGCTATTGTTTGGGGAATGGAAAGATTTATACTCCTTGCAGTATAAGAATGGAATCTTTCCATTTCCCACCATCCAGTCAGAGCTGAAGAAGCTTCTTGGATGAGAAGTGAAATGCCTTCAAAGAAAAACAAGAAAGTCCAGTTGTCTTGTGAAAAAGCATCTTTGGGACAACTATGACCTGGATGACTGAGAATCTCCATAGACATTTTTCATTTGGTAAACTCTTGATTTTACAGACCTTACAGAATCTGGATGTAATGGATAACATCTGAATTTCAGGCAATAGTAGATTTTACGCCAAACAAGAGACCAAGTCTGTGGTTTGGTGAGACAATCAGGACAACATTTGCTGCTTCTCCTAAAATATGGGCATGCTTCTGCATATGCTTCATTTAAAGTGAAGACTTAGATAAAGCTGGATATTTTCTTCAAGTTAATAGATTATCTAATATCATCATCATCATCAATTGAACCCAGTACTTCCAAAACAGATAGCTAAAAGTAAGGTTTTTTTTTCATGTATGGACATGTTTTGCAGCTTAAAAAACCCAATTTGCAATTGAATGGACATTTGGAATTAATGGACATTCTGTCCCCTGTTATTCAATTGAACATTCACTATATTTATAGTACGAGAGCCACTGATTCCTCCGATTAATGGAAGACAAAGAAAAGTGTCTTGTGTTTTTCAACTAATTCCCATTCAATTTGATTTTTTTCAAAATAGCTTTAAAAGTATTGCAGAGGACAAGTAAATGAAATTCTTATGATTAGAATATCATATATGGTATTTGCATTATATACCTACAGTGAGACAAATGTGTATTTCATTGTCCTATTCTTCTTTATACATTCATCTCTCCAGTGGTATGTAGCCTCCCAAGTTTCCCACATTTAACCTAAACCCTTTTAGAAAACTCCAGAATGGAACTTGCCTCACTGCTTTTTGAGTAGCAGTACCAGCTTGTTAAAAGCTTGAAAAAATGTTCTATTTTTTCTACCCACATATTTGGAGAAGAACTTCAAAATGCTATTTGTGCCCAGAATAAGAATTCGCAGCAATCCCAGACACTGTGGGTAATTGTAGCTCTGGGAATTGTAATTTAGCAACACCTGGAGGGCCACAAATGTCCAGATCTCATTTAAATGCATAATTCTGTGCATGTTTTAAGCTTACTTAGAAATAGTTTCTACTAATAGCAATGAGTGGATTGCATATACAAAATGCAGAATGTGGATATAAGTAATCCTCACTTAATGTCCCTAAGCGGGGCTGACAAACCCATTGCTAAGCGATCCACTTGTAAAGTAGAAAATTACATGACTATACTGATTTACAGCAACAGTTCCAGCAGATCTAGTTACAGTCATACAATGAATCACCACAGGTTTTTAGGTGCAATATAACACATATGTGACTTTCAACCTCCTGTTGGCTTTCCCACTGACTTTTTCTGGTCAGAAGCCCCCTGGGAATGTCACAAATGTGATTGCATGACCACTGGGTGCTGTGATTGTTATATATGCCAAACACCAAACATCACAAACACATGACTGCAGGGACACTGTGACAGCCACATCTTTGAGGATGTATAAGTCTCTTTTTTCAGCACTATCATAATTTTGAACAGATGCTAAATGAATGCTCATTAAGTGAGAACTGCCTATATAGGATGAAATCTAAAAATTCCAGTTGCCAACTGGCTAAAAAAAACATTTGCACTAGAAGACTGATGCCTGGCAAGGAAGACTAACTACCAGATGTCCCATCCATTACCACTACTGATCTCTTATATTTTATATTCAAGTCTGATTTTTAAAAAACTTTACATGAAAATGGCCCTAGGATGAATATATAGGATAGCACAAAAGATCATTCTATCTTTTATCAATACCTATGTGCAGGTCACTAGGTGAGACTGCCTACTGTCTTCAGGAATATATTTCGAATACAGCTAGCTCTCGGCTTACAACCACAATTGACCCCAAAATTTCTGTTGCTGAGGCAATTGTTAAGTGAATTTTGCCCCATTTTACGACTTTTCTTGCTACAGTTGTTAAGTGGATCACTGCAGTTGTTAAATTAATATCATGGTTGTTAAGTGAATCAAGCTTCTCCATTGGCTTTGCTTGATAGAAGGTCGCAAAAAATGATCACATGATCCTGGGACAATGCAACTGTCATAAACATGAGTCAGTTTCCAAACGTCTGATGTTTGATCACGTGACCATGGGGATGCTGCAATGGTTATAAGTTTGAAAAATAGTCATAAGTCACTTTTTTCATTGCCATTGTAACTTTGAACGGTCACTAAAACAACGGTTGTAAGTCAAGGACTACCTGTAGTTTGCTCCCTCTTGGCAATTAAGAATCCAAGTTTGTGATAAGACTTTACTATGGTCTGAGAGCCTTGCTGGGGTGGCTCAGAGGTGTACAAGAGCCATGCCTCTTCTAGTATTGAGGCAATGAAAGAAAACCAGGCAGTCCCCAGGCTGCAACTTTTAGCATACTTTTTCAGGGATCAAAAAATCATGAACAAAGAAAAGAGATATGGAAAGTAGGTCAGGCAATGCAGTAGATCTAGTGAAATTTTGGGAGAAAACTTCCCACTTTGATCCTAGCAAAAAGTGTGAAGGGGGAAAGGAAGAGATGAAGAATTATAGTTCTAAGGGAGCCTCAGGTCAGCTAAGCATTTTTTGTGACCTTGCAAAGTGATTGAAAAGAGCATCTTGGTAACTTCTTGGCAGGCACTGATTATCATTGCCAGATAAAGAACAATGGACTGAAATGGAAGATTATTTGCTTGGAGATATGACCGTGTCTTAGATCTCATGTTGTAGATGCTATGTTCCATTAAAGCATGCTTTGGGTCCTGGAATACCTGTGACATATCAAATAATAGTTTCTGTGTAATTTGAATGTACAGTTGGTAAAATAATTGCAGAATACTTCTAGTATAATACATTTTAATCTTGGGAACTGATTGAATTGTACACAAGTAATTGGTCTAAGCTGCTATTACAGCTATAACTGGATTTCTACATATTTATTCTAAGGCTGAACAGAACTTCTCATGGTTTGAAAGCTCCTTGTGATTTTTGCATCAGCATTTCTTCCATTTTCACCCAACCCTGCCTTGCATTCCAAATGGAGTAACCCCTCCTCCTTGCAATTTGCCACGCAAGAGCCTGCTGGAAAACTTCCTGTGCAAGCATGGGAGCCATAAAAGGCTTATTCTGGCTCTTGTAATTCGGGTGTGTGTGTGTGTGTGTGTGTGTGTGTGTGTGTGTGTGTTCCTTGCTTGCTCCTTCACTCCCTCCCTCTTTTTTAGTTGATTCTAGCCTAGGCATTAAGAAAATACAGGTCATCTCAGTCATTGGGAATATTTTTGCATATGACTGTATTCCAGAACAAAACCAAAGGGTTGGATTTATTCAGCTGGAGAATTCTTTTTGGCACATTTTCCTCTACCAACATATAATCTGCATCACTTTTGGATTTACTTCCCACTTATAAAGGACTGCAGCCTCCAGGGATCACAGAGCACAGATGTGAGTAACAATCTATAAATGCAATTGGAGGGATTAAAGGGGACAAATGAGAGAATGACAGGGAGATTTTGGAGTTCAACTTGCTGTCTTTGTCTTTTGCAAAAGCTCTCATTTCACAAAAACATACAGCTGGCTCTTCAATATTATACAGAAAAAGGCTATTTGGAAGCAAAAAACACAAACTCTATGCTGTTATTTTTGCATTTTTCTCCTTCTTTGCCTTTGATCTTTTTTGGTGCACAACTTTCATGAGATCTTAGATTAATTTAATCATAGAAGTTATCAGCAATTCATCTAATATTCCTCAGTAGTTACTGAGAAAAAAAATGTGACTCAATTTGGCAAGCTGTATCCTTGATTTGTTAAAAGTCATTCTGTATTTTAAACATTCAGGAGTATAGCTATGCATGCTATAACTGAGGAAATTGCATTTAAGCATGCGAAGCTAAGTTTACATGCCAAGACAGATATGCATTGGATATGCAGTTGGGATGGAGTATCTTACAGCATTTTTTAAAAAAACATTTGCTATCCAGGGTGAATTTTGTCTAAGGGCAATTTCAGGCAAAGTACAATCTTTGCAGAAAGTGTACTGCAGTGCTTTCAAGAGATGTGAGAGAAAGAGGCAGAAAACACCAGGCTAGGAATGTTATTGGTGGTCATGAAAAAAAAAAAAAAGCCAATGGCATTGCATCTTTAAGATATTCAAATAAATTATAGCAAGAATTAAATAATCTGTTTATATTCAGTATTGAAAGAATGTCAAACAGCAAAATAGGAATAAATGATTGCTAACCATGGAAACAGACCTTGGTTGTGAATGACGCCTGACTAGCAAATCTTATGAGCCTGGCTTCTTGTGAAGTGGCTCCAGATACAGGATAGATTGACCTGAATTGCCATACTGAGTAGTTTTGAGTTCTAGCTGGCAAGAGCTATCTTTATACCTGATATTTAAAAACTATAAATATATTTTATGATCTTTTGCACTCAAATTATGTACTTAAATACATTGTTCTATTGTTACTTCCCCATATGTTTACCAGACAAAGAGGTTACACCAGAGTAAGATATAGTGCACCAGAGTAAGATATAGTGCACCAGAGTAAGATATAGTGCAGATAGATAAATCCTTATGCAAAAGAATAAATGGTCACAAAATTAACATCAGAAGCATATACTTAGAGGCAAGCAGGAGAAAATGTCAACCTTCCCATGACATTCTGTTTCAGCTCTTTAAAAAAAATGGAGAAAAGCTGAGTTGTAACTTGACAAGTGCTTAATTCTGTTATTTGAGGCTTCAACCTAGAGACTTATTTTTAATTCCACTGTAGGTGTTAATTAATTCAGCAATGAAAGGTTCCTTATAAATGCACTGTGAATGATCACTGGGTTTGGTTTTTACACTTCAGAATGATACACTGTTTAAAATTTGATTTTTCCTCTTATTTTCACTGCCATCATTTTGTTTTCCTCTTATAAATTAAAAAGGAAACTCCTTTGATTTCAAGTGATTTCATGGATGTATTGATGTGTTTTCTTCACCACAGCATGGGACCAGTTTTGGAATAATTTTTGTCCTATCCTATAACTCTGTTCCCCATCTAAGTACCAACCCAGCCAAATCATCCCACTAAAGCCAGACAAGCTTGGCTTGTTCAAACCTTTGATCTAACAACAGACAAACACCTTGGACATGTTTTTATTTGAACGCTATGTCATTTGATTTTTTTTATTAAGAACAAATGAATTTGACAACTGAACTGACCTTCTTCCCTAGCCATTTTATTTATTTATTTATTTGTTTGTTTGTTTGGGTTGAAAATCTCAGTTATTGCATTACAGGCAAATGAGTATACTGCAAAGGGGAAAAGCCCAACTAATACTGTATTTCAAAGTTAAGAACACTGACCGTCAAATTCATAATTCATATGTATGTACATATAGTTAACATTTTTTTTTATTGAAAGTTTTTTAAATTTTACAAAACAAATCCCCTCCCCAAACACCCCCACCCTCCCATACCCTCCCCCACCTCCCCAAACCTCCCAAACCCTCCCCCAACCTTCCCAGAGCTGAGTACAGGCTTAATTAAATTTTTTTAGAAAAAGAAAAGGAAAACTTAAAACACATATAAATCCTAAACAAATCTAAATACATTAAATTAAATAGGTTATCTTCTCTAAAAAAATAATAATTGCAATCATTAAACACATTATAATATACTCTAAACATTTTCTAGTATCATACTTATATTATTATCCATCATTCTGTATAAACTCCCTCCAAAACACAAATTTAAACATTACTTTCTTTGAATATCTATACCTACAATATAAAATCTAATCTCTCCCTCTTTCTTTATCCTAGAACACAAAAATAAACATATAAACCTTCATTATACCATTAAAACTAAATACTCTTTGAATACTTAAACTAAATACTTAAACTTAAACTTCTTATCTAAGATTTTCATTCAATCTCCATAATCTTCTCTCCTATAAAAAAAAAACTTAAAAGACATATAAATCCTAAACAAATCTAGGTACATTTAATTAAACAAGTTATCTTCTCTTAATAATAATAATAATAATAATAATAATAATAATAATAATAAAAACCCAATCATTAAACACATTATAATATACTCTGAACTTTTCATATCATACTTATGTTATTATCCATCATTCTTTATAAACTCCCTCCAAAACACAAATTTGAACATTACTTAAAACATTAAAATTCCCTTATACACATTTAAATCTTTACCAATAACAAATTCCATCCACAATAAACACATTCCTTATCAGTCTCTCTTGTCCATAAACCATTAAAATTCCCTTATACACATTTAAATCTTTACCAATAACAAATTCCATCCACAATAAACACATTCCTTATCAGTCTCTCTTGTCCATAAACCTCAAAAGAAGTGCTTTGAAAACTGCCCTTAAAGCTAACTCCAAAAAGTTTGTAAATCTTGCTTCTCCCACAGACTCAGTACTCTTTTGAATACTTAAACTAAGTACTTAAACTTAAACTTCTTATCTAGAATTTTCATTCAATCTCCATCCTTGTTAGTCTCTCTTATCCATAAATCTCGAAAGAAGTGCTTTGAAATCTGCCCTTAAAGGTAGCTCCCAAAAGTTTATAAATCCTGCTTCTCCCACAGACTCAGGAGCCAATACTTGTGAGGCTTCCTTAAACTCCTTTTTCTGTTGCTCTTTTTCTTTACGATTGTATGTTGCACGAGTTGTCCTCTGCTCCTTCATCTCGACTTGTTGAGGCCCCTCGAACTGAGATTTCCCATTTTTCATTAATATAGGCTCTTCAGACTGCAGTTCTACCCTTAAAGGTTGCTCCAAAAAAATTATAAATCCTACTTCTCCCGCAGATTCAGAAACCAATAGTTGTGAGGCTTCCTTAACCTTCTTCTGTTGCTCCTTTTCTTTACAGTTATATGTTGCACAGGTTATCCTCTGCTCCTCCATTTCAACTTGTTGAGGCCCCTCAAACTGAGGTTTCCCAATTTTCATAAGTATAGGCTCTTCAGACTGCAATTCTACCTTCTTTTCTTCCAAAACTTTAAACTTAATAGATGGCGATGAACATACCCCCAGGACCGAAGTATAAAAGTCTTTTGCTTGAGAAACAGTATTAAGTCTATAACATATCCCCAGGTAATTCACCACCATTCCAATCGGAACATCCCATCTGAACAAGATTCGTCTCTTTTTAAGTTCATCTGCTAAAAAAGCAAACTCCTTTCTTCTTCTTAAAAATTTAGATGGGATCTCCTTTAGAATTATAACATCTTGTGAAGCAATTTGAAATCTCTTCTTATAAAAGTCTTGTATAATTTCGTTGCGCAGAGATCTTTTCCCAAAGTAAATTACCACATCTCTTGGCAAATTCTTTTGCACTGCCACCACAGAGTTAAGTCTAAATAATTTTTCAATTTCACTGAGTATTTCCTCTTTTTCTTTATTCAAAATCACAGCAAAGTCCTTTGCAACCATCTCTCTCAGATCTCCTTGCACAGACTCTCCCAAACCTCGGATTCTTAAGGCATATTCCATTTGTCTATATTGAAGCATAAGAATCTCATTTTCCATTTCTTTTTCCATGCTTTCAAATTTTCCCTCCATCAATTCCACTTTTTCTGCTACCTCTTCTACACGAGAGTTCAGCTTTTCAAGAACAGAGGCAACTCCTTTTAGAGCCAAAACTATCTCTTGCCTCAAAATCTTATTATTTTCCTCTAAAATCTCTTTCATTTCTGCCCTAATTTGAGATATAACATTTCCCATCATATCTTGCAAATCCTTCACAATTATTGGCTGTACCAAGGAAGAGGGTGAAGCTATTGATTTAGGTTGTTGCACTGATGATAACACCGAAGAAGAAACCACCTTAGGAGCTGTAGGAATTACTGGACGCTTTGGAGCCATCTTTAAAAAAATCTTTACTCCTTCTTAAAAATTACAAAAATTAAGCAAAAGAAAAAGAGAGATTAAGTCCAAAAAAATTCAAAAAGTCCTTCAAAAGGAGATCATTATAACAAAAAGATACTGAACGCTTTGGAGCCATCTTAGAAAAATCTTTACTCCTTCTTTAAAATTACAAAAATTAAACAAAAGAAAAAGAGAGATTAAGTCCAAAAAAATTCAAAAAATCCTTCAAAAGGAGATCATTATAATAAAAAGAAAGGAGTTAAAAAAAGAAAAGGGAAGAAGAAAAAAATAATTAAATAGAAAAAATCCATTCCATTTTTTTTAAAAGTACAAAAAGCAAAACAAAGAAGTTAAACAAAAATAATAATGCTTCTAAAATCCAAACCCAACATCAAAATCAAATCCACATTCCGTTCCAATCATTAAAAAAAAAAGGAAAAGGATAAAAAAAAACACCAAAAAGCCTGCCGATCGCCATTCTACCTTCCCCCCCCCCAAAAAAAAAACCCGAAAGGCTTGCCGATCGCCATTTTACTTTCCCTTTCA